AAGGCAGCGGCTTAACCCACTGAGCCACCCAGGCGCCCCAATTTTTTCTTAATCTTAATTGATATAACATAGCAGTTTGTTCAAAATAGAGTACCAACAATGGATTAAATTATATATATACATATATATATATATCCATATGTATATATATATATATATATATATATATATCTAAAATGAACTTATATAATTAGAGAAAAAAATGGAATCCTGTAAAATACTCAATTAAAAACTGCAAAAGACAGGGGCGCCTGGATGGCTCAGTGGGTTAAAGCCTCTGCTTTCAGCTCAGGTCATGATCCCAGGGTCCTGGGATCGAGCCCCGCATCAGGCTCTCTGCTCAGCGGGGAGCCTGCTTCTTCCTCTCTCTCTGCCTGCTTCTCTGCCTACTTGTGATCTCTGTCTGTCAAATAAATAAATAAAATCTTAAAAAAAAAACTGCAAAAGACAGAAAAAAAGTGGAAGACAAAAATGGAACAAGGAATAAGAACAGCAAATAGAAAACAGTAATGAATATGGTAGATATTAATCAAAATGTGTAAATAATCACTTCAAAAGTCAGTGGTCTAAAGGCACCAATTAAAAGAAAGAAATTGTTGGAGTGGATCAAAATAAATCTAATTGAAGATTTTTCCCATCCAGATTTTTTTTTCTTTCATAGTTTATTTACCTATTATATTTATGAATAAGCCCTTTCCTTTCCCAATATTAATTTTTAATTTTAATTTATGTATTTATGTATGTATGTATTTATTTTTTAAAGACTTTATTTATTTGAGAGAGAGAGAGAGAGAGAGCATGAGGGGGGAGAGGGGATGGGGAAAAGCAGATTCCCTGCTGAACAGGGAGCCCAATGAGGGGCTCCATCCTGGTACTCCAGGATCATGACCTGACTAAAAGGCAGACACTTAACTGACTGAGCCACCCAGGTGCCCTGCAATATTATTTAATTCATTCATGAATTCAGAGTTTTACTAACATTTTATTTTTTTTTTTTGTCCATCAAAATTTTGAACCATCCGAAACTTGTGAGAAAAAGAAAGAAAATATCACATTCAATTTCTCACAAATAGGTAGCCATAGTGACTACATTTAATAAATATTTTGTCTTCTCCTTTCTTGTTTTAAAATGCCACATACAAAATTTCAGACATATTGGCATATTTGGGGACTTCCATAATGTTTCTTTTTTCTGTCAATTTTTACATTAGAACACTGGTGACAGCACATTTTAATATTTGTCAGGGCCACTTCTCACTCACCATATTCTTTTTCAGAACAATATCATATAATTATTTTTCTATGTGAACTTTAGACTCATTTTACTATTTAATAAAATGGTTATTTTGGATTTTGTTTTGAAGTTAAATTGAATTTATCAGTTCTTCCTTAGGGAAATAATATTTTGATGTATCTTAACAATTTTTCATAGCTTTTTTCCTTGGATTTTAGTAGAATTTCACACAATTTTTTTTTTTTTGAGTTCAGATCTTTTTTCTTAAGTTTTTCTAGGTGTTTTTTTTTCCACTGTACTAAAAGTATCATCTTTTCTTCTATTTTATTTTCTAAATAGTACACACTAAAGCTATTAATTTTTATACTTAATTGTTAACCAGTTACTTTATTAAACTTTTTCCATATATATACACATCTATCTATCTATCTATCTATCTATCTATCTATCCTGGGGGTTTCAAAGTACACATCATTTTATTTCAAATAATAATAATTTATTTTTCTTAAAGATTTATTTATTTATTTATTTTAGAGAGAGAAAAATACAGAGAGCAAGAGCCAGGGGAGAGGCAGAGAGAGAAACCTGAAACAGACTCCTCACTGAGTGTGGAGCCCTATGCAGATCTCCACTCTAGGACCCTCAAATCATGGCCTGAGCAGAAATCTTGAATCTGACATTTAGCTAACTGAGCTATCCAGGCGCCCCTAAATAATAATATTTATTCTCCCCTCTTCCTCCTTTCTTCATGCATACCATTTTCAGATTTCTTTAATTCTATAGTCAACAATAAATAACACTAGTGTCAACAAGCGCTTACTAGGGTAATGACTT